ACAATACGCTGATGATACAATCATCTTTATGGAGCATGACTTGGCTAAGGCAAGAAATATGAAGCTGGTGTTATGCCTATTTGAACAATTGACCGGGTTAAAGATAAACTTTCATAAGAGCGAGCTGTTCTGTTTTGGTAAGGCCAAAGATGAACAGGATGCTTATAGGCAATTGTTTGGATGTAAGTTGGGAGAGCTACCATTCTCATACTTGGGAATTCCTATCCACCATCGTAGGCTAACGAACAGAGAATGGAAGTGTATCGAGGACCGATTTGAGAAGAAACTGAGCTGCTGGAAGGGCAAGCTCATGTCATATGGAGGCCGATTAATCCTTATTAATTCGGTGCTCACAAGTATGCCGATGTTTCTTCTTTCGTTCTTTGAGGTACCAGTTGGTGTTAGGAAGAGACTGGACTTCTATAGATCGCGGTTCTTTTGGCAGGGTGATGAGCTTAAAAGAAAATATAGGCTTGCTAAGTGGGATATCATCTGTAGACCGAAAGACCAAGGGGGTCTGGGTATTGAGAATCTAGAAATTAAGAATAAATGCCTTCTTAGCAAGTGGTTGTGGAAGCTTTCGTCGGAAAATGATGCTATATGGGCTCAAATCCTTCGCGGCAAGTACCTCCAGTCAAAAACCTTGTCACAGGTCACAGCAAGGCCTACCGATTCACCCTTCTGGAAGGGTCTCATGAAGGTCAAGCAGGCTTTGTTTAATAGGACAAAGTTTGTTGTTGGAAACGGCACGAGTGCACGTTTCTGGGAAGATACTTGGCTCGGTGACACACCCTTAGCCATCCAATATCCCTCCTTGTACCGCATTGTTCAACGACGTGAGGTGTCCGTTGCATCGGTCTTTCAATCTATCCCCCTTAATATACGGTTCAGACGAGTGCTAGCGGGCAATCATTGGGAAGAATGGCTCCGTCTGGTTAGGAGACTGATGGCAGTGCAGCTTTCTCAACAACCCGATGAATTACGCTGAAAATTGACTAAGTCTGGAGTATTCACGGTTAAATCAATGTATATTGATGTAATTAATTTGAACTCCATTCCTACGTCCAAACATGTGTGGGATGTCAAAGTTCCTTTGAAAATAAAAGTGTTTATGTGGTTTGTCCATAAACAAGTAATTTTAACTAAGGATAATTTGATGAAGCGTAATTGGACAGGATCTACTAGGTGTAGTTTCTGCGATCGGGATGAGACTATTAAACACCTATTTTTTGATTGCCCGCTGGCCAAGGTACTTTGGCAGACGGTCCACATTGCTTTCAATATCAAACCCCCGACTTCTGTTTATGCGTTCTTTGGGACATGGCTTAATGGGTTTGAGTCTAACGTAGCGAAACATATTCGGGTTGGGGCTTGTGCGTTGTTGTGGACTATCTGGAATTGCAGAAATGATTTGGTCTTTAACAGAATATCATGTATACAATTTTTGCAGGTTTTATTCCGGACTACGGCACTGATTCGTTCGTGGTCGCCACTCACCCAGACGGAGGCCAGGGAGCATTTGGTTACTGGGTCTGTCCGCTGGGAGATGGTAGCTCGGGATATCTTCGACCGGTTTGGATGGCGGTCATGTAATAGGATAGGTATTTAGTGTTCCTATCTACTTTACCCAGCCGGCTGTGGCATCTTGATTTGGCTAGTTGTTGTTTCTAGCCTTTTTTTGGCTCTGTGTGAGCTTTTTCTACTTTTTTACGACCATTGGAACCATGTTGGCACTACTTCTTTTTTAATATGAGGGCCGTATGCATCATGCTGATGCAGAGGCCGGGGTTTCTCCCCCTTTTCGAAAAAAAAGAGGAAGATACATGTACTTTTAAAAGGGATATAGCTCCTGATTGGTCTTCTTCTTCTGACTGAAGTTTGATTTTGCCCTGAATATATGTGCAATGGTGAGCACTGCACTTACTTTGCCAGTCCCTGCTGCAATCAAATTTGTCATCATCAATAGACCATATTCCATGAATACTCTGGCTTACTCAAGGGGATTAAAATTTAGGGGTCAAACAATTTCAGATTTGGGGAGAAAATCAAAGATGAATGTGTAGCCGTGAAGCCTGATGCCCCTTGCTGTCTTGAAGTTGCTGCACCATAAAACAAATATCACTGCATTGTTGTACTAATCCAGACCAAACAAATCAAGTGAACAATCCTAATCGTGCCATACTAATCCTGAACCTCCTGCTCTTATATTAGTGACCTAAACGCTTTTATATTACTTTACGGAGGGAGTAGATGGCTGCTCACATATCTAAATGCTGCATTTCTTGTGATTCATGCATAGCAAAGTTTCCTTGCAGTATCTTCTAGAACCAGGAACAACCACTGCATTGTGAATGGCAATGAGAACTGAACCTAGGTACAAATCGATTTAGGGATAGAGGGCTAGGACAAGAATCAGTAAAATTCAGAGTTTCAAATCTAAGTCAACATCTATTATTCCTGCAGTTCCCCTGCATCGTGGCTTCGGCATCTACAAGCCCAAAAGATCCAGCCCCTCATGGTGCACCTACTGAGTAAGCTATCTACTGTAATTATATATATGCATGCCTCTCCTTAGTTAATCTCAACTCCAGCCTAATTTGATGTGTGTTGTGACATGATCTTCAGGTCTGCACCATCCTTGGAGTGTGCCTGATGATCCTGTCGCCAATTAGAGGGCTCAAACAGATCATCTTGGATTCCAAGACATGCAAATTCTACTCATATTCTACTTTCTACCACACATTTTGTCTTGTGGAAACTGCATGAGATCATTTGCGATATTTACTAAAAAAATCTCGTGTCTTGAAAAGGAAAAGGAAAGGAAGATCATTGTACCCCAGATGGGATGGTAGAAAAACTAATCTGGCACAACGCCCAAGCGACCCTAGCATCTAGGATTCATTGCCACGTTATACAGACAGTGACTAAAGGAGGCTGACAATACAATACTTTGGTTCATACATTACCAGCAGTATCTTGGCCAGCGGCGTCAGGCAAAGAACTTGAGGTCGCTGTCGGCCATGACTCCCCCACGCCCCAGGCCGAAACAGGAGGGTAGGCGCCGTCAGGCTATGACCTTCGAAGCCGAGGAGCCATCCCCGCCTCTCCAACGGCAGCAGGGAGCGGGACGGCGTTGTGTTCTGCTCAGGACCCAGCTTTCATCCACCAGTCGCGCCACCGCGCGCGAGCTCAGATCCGGAGGCGCGGGAAATGGCGAGCGGCGGCGTCGGCTACCAGCTTCCAGACCGACGACGCAAGGAGAGGAGGAGAAGGACGTGGAGGTGGATAAGTGGGAGGATGAACATGGGAGAGACAGCGTGCGGCGGTGGGATTGGGGGAAACGAGAGCCTAGGGTTTTCAACGCTGGTTCTTATATCGACGCGGTAAAACCAGCACAGTAGAAGGACATGTGGACACAACGAAAAAGCGCACTTGAAGCGACTCTTATTGTGTTTGATTTGCATATGGGATAACTATTGGAGCGATGATTTTAGATATAAAATGCCCCAAAAAAGAAACGGTTTCTTGGGCCGTTGCCCTGTTTTGGGCTGCTGTTCAAGGTGGGCATTGAACATGGCCTTTTTTGCAGCTTTTGCATGCGAGCAATAAATACCTTCGGTAACAAAGCACCGCGGTCCAGATTGCCAGAGCATCTGGACTCAGGAGCCAAATCGCCATAGAGTAAAATGCACTGGCGGTCATTGAACTTGTATCCATAGCTCACTTTGATCACTGTACATACGAATACAATCAATACAGTCACTATACATGACTTCTGATTACTATACGGTCACTGTCTCACCGTATAGACTCGTATTTATCCTGTTGACCGGTCAAATAGCAGAAGTGGCACCTCGTCACCTCATTTTCTGGCTTTGTCTATGTAGGTCCTACTTGTCAGTGGGTGAAACAAATCATTAAAGAAACTAAAATTCTGCGCAATATGTAATACTGAGTCTGGACGGGGGCGCCTTAGGTGAGATGCCCAGCGCTGAACGTGCACGTCGTATTCCTGTCTCCACGACAGCAGCATGACCTCCATTCCCGGCTCCGTCGTGCCTCGAGCAGCTGTCGCGCAACACAAGCTACGGGTCGAGCGTCGGCGCCACGAGCGCTCACTCCAGAGGTCACCGACGGCCGGCGTGGTGATGGTTGTGGCTGTGGTGCTGCGGACGACGGCGAGACAAACGTGCAGCTGGAGCGGAGGCATGAGTTGCAGGGCGGGCGTCAGACGTGGCGAGCTGACACGGACGTGCAGCCGGCGCGGCGACGCGAGCTACAGGGCGTGCGTGGGCGCGGCGAGAAGTACAGCCGGCGCGCGTGCATGCGCTTGGCTCGCGGCGTCTACAACCGCAGGAAACGGGTCGAAAGGTTCTGTCCCTGGCGCGTGTGTTGTGTGTGTCAATGACCGCCAGTGCTAATGTGTACGTGCTCTGTGCTAATGTGTACGTGCCTGCTGTGTGCCTGCGTCGTATATGTAATAAGTGGTCTCTCTTCATATATTTAAAAGAAAGTTATATGTGCTCAGTTGGCTAGTGTGCATAGGTTGCACCGGGAAGGTCCCTGCGCATAATTTTAGTTTTTCTGTCATCCACTGACAGTTGGGACCCACGTACCCAGAGATAGAGCTGAGGAGGCACCGCTGTTTGACCGGTCAACTGGATCAAATACGAAGCTATAGGTGAGACAGTGACCATATAATCATCAAAAATCATGTATAGTGATCATACTGACTGTATTCTTATGTACAATGAGCTATCGGCACAAGTTCAGTGACCGCCAGTGCATTTTACTCATCGCCATACAAGTTCTGTTCGAATCTGAATACCCGTTTGGTCTCTGTTACAAGAAAAATTTTAGTCGAACTTTCACTTATCGAATTATATTCTATTGCAGTGCAGTAAATAAACTGAGGAAATTTTGAAACCAAAAGGTATCAGGTTCCCATCCTGGACACTGTACATATTATTTTCATCACTAGCACTAATCCTAGAAAATTCCTAGCTCTTTGCTACGCTCTCATAGAACAAGATGTAGCCATGATCGCTGTTGCGAGAATATTCGCGAGAAGAACCATAGAACGTTTGCAGGGTTGACTCCTGAATCTTGTCGACACTGTCATCGTCAAATGACAGCCAGTGGTCGCCGCTTTTAATCTGGCTTACATAATGGCCGCCGTAGACGCAACACCATCCCCCTCCTTTGGGATGGGGACACTCTTCTTCAGGACCCTCGCGACATCCGGTCTCATGTCGACGGCTTCTATCGGTCCCTTTTCTCCGCCGCTCCTCGGAGTGGCGTTTCCCTCGCCCACGATTGTTGGGCCGGTATTCAGTTAGTCTCCAGGGCGGAGAATGCAGCCCTGACGGCTCCCTTCTCCGAGCAGGAGGTCTGGGAGGCTATCAAGGGGATGAATTCCTCTTCGGCTCCTGGTCCTGATGGCCTCCCTGTTATTTTCTTCCAGACCTTCTGGAACGTGATTAAACCCGAGGTCATGGCCATCTTTGAAGAATTCTTTGTGGGTGCCATCGACCTAGGTCGCCTCAACTATGGGATCATCTCCCTCATCCCCAAGGTCCCTGGGGCGTCCGACATCCGCCAGTTCCGGCCGATCACGGTCATTAATGTGATCTTCCGGATCTTGGCCAAAGGGTACGCCAATAGGGTGACCCTGCTGGCTGACCGGATTACGCATCCTGACCAGTCGGCCTTCATTAGAGGACGATATATCCTGGATGGTGTTTTGGTCCTCCATGAGGTACTTCACGAGGTCCGGTCCAAACACCTCAAGGCGGTTTTTTTGAAGATCGATTTTCACAAAGCCCATGACTCGGTCAGCTGGACCTTCCTCAGAGAAGTCCTTCTTCGGAAGGGCTTTGATGACCGCTGGATCACTAGAGTCATGCAAATGGTCTCTTGCGGTCGCACGGCGGTTAACATCAATGGCGAGGTTGGTCCCTTCTTCCCTACCCTTTGTGGGGTTCGCCAGGGCGACCCCTTCTCCCCGTTCCTCTTCAATATGGTGGTGGATGCCTTGGCTGCCATTCTTGATAAGGCCAAGGCGGCTGGCCACATTCGTGGGATTACCCCACATCTCTCTGGAGGATCCGGAATTTCCATCCTTCAGTATGCTGACGACACGATCATCATGGTCGAAGGCTCGGAGATGGACATCGCCAACCTCAAGTTCCTCCTTCTATGCTTCCAACAGATGTCGGGTCTCAAGATCAACTTTGATAAGAGCGACGTCATGGTAATGGGATACTCCCCCGCTGAGTCTCTGGCCATCGCCAATCGGCTTAATTGCCGCCTGGGCTCTTTCCCCACCTCCTACTTAGGGACCCCCATTAGCGACTCACGCCTTTCTGCAACGGACTTGAGGCCCGCTATCTCTAAGCTCCAGTCCCGGTGTGAGCCCTGGCAGGGGAGATGGCTCTCCAAGGCGGCCCGAACTATTCTTATCAACTCTTCTCTCTCTAGCCTGCTGCTGTTCCTTATGAGCTTCTATAGCCTCCATGAGTCCCTACATAAGGAGATCGCTAAGATCCAGTCTCGCTTCTACTGGGCTGGTGAGCATGATAAGCAGAAGTACCACATGGTCAGCTGGCCTGACATCTGCAAGCCCCGGGAGCAAGGTGGCCTGGGCATCATGTGCTCCAAGCGGATGAACATCGCGCTCCTCTCCCGCTGGCTCTGGCGCATCGCCCAGGGCCATGGCGACCTCTGGTTGGACATTACCAGGACTAAATACCTTCGGGGTCAACCCCTTTCCTTCTGCCAGAGATCGGGCGGCTCCCAGTTCTGGCAGTCCATTGTTCAGCTTCTCCCGGTGCTGCGCATTGGGACCTCCATCTCCGTGGGCTCTGGCCTCTCGACTCTCTTCTGGTATGATCGTTGGGCTGGTGACTCCCCCTTCGCGGCCCGCTTCCCCGTCCTTTTCTCTATTTCCGTTGACCCCATGATATCGGTCAATAGGGCCCTTCTTGATCTGGGGCGCCTTGCCTTCCGTCGACCGTTTGGGCCGGCGGAATCCGCCGCCTGGTGTGAGTTGCTTGACTGTGTCGCATTGCACGAACCACTGGTGGATGACAGGCCGGACCGTACCCGGTGGCGGCTCGAGCCGTCGGGCTTGTTCACCACCAAGTCGCTCTATTCGGCCATCGCCCCTTCCTCCGCACCCCTCCCCTTATCGATGGTCTGGACCGTTCGGGTGCCACTGAAGATTCGCATCTTCATGTGGCAATGGATCCGTGGTAGGCTTCCGTCTGGTGTGGAGGTCCGCAAGCGCAATGGCCCAGGCACCGGTATCTGCCCGCTCTGTGGTGTCCCGGAGGACTCAAACCACATCTTCTTCTCCTGCATCTCCGCACAATTCCTCTGGAGCTGCTTTCGCGAGGTGGTCGGAGGGAGTTGGTGCCACACCAACTTCCCGGACCTTTTTGCTGAACTCCAACTGTCCCCCGTATCCTCTCGCCACATTAGGTGGCTGGAAGTTGGGGTGCTTGCTTGGACGTTGTGGACCGTTCGCAATAAACTTGTGATCCAGCGCGCTCCCCTTCGTCGCCCTACTGACGCTCTCTACAAATTCTCGGGTTTCTTGCAGCTTTGGCGGCCGCTTAGTCGCCCCACGGACCGTGACGCCATCTCCGCCTTCATCGCCGACCTCCGATCGATGGCCATCCGCCTCTCTCCGCCGACGCCGCCGCCACCGCCGGAGCCCGATTAGCCACCTTGTGTTGGGTGCGTTGTGCTGTTGTTGTTCTCTTCTTTTTTGGGCTTGTTGAGCTGTGCCCTCAGCAGAACCTTTGTACTTTTCCTTGAGACTCGTGTGTGTTGGTGTGGACCTATGTGGTATGTATGCTCTGTGGCGGTTGCTTTATTTATAAAGCGGGGCGTAAGCCTTTTTCGGTAATGTCCGTGGTTGGCGGCGTTCCCAACGTGGACTACCACAGCAAAGAGTGAGTATTCGCAATCCACATCATGAGAGGCACTGCTCAGCTTCAGCTCCATGGGGTATACCACTCGGTATGACAGTTTCTTGTGCTGACTCAGCTGTTCAATGAACTTGAAGCGCTTTAAGTGGATCACCAATATTTGCGGCGCCTTTTTTATCTTCATTCTCTTCTGTGCTTCTTGCAAACTGCACAGTGCACCACAATTTCAGTGTTAAAAAGGAAATCAAGCAGCATAAAGGGTCTTTTCACGTATGGTAGTTCTCGACGCACTTTTTCTGTCTAGGGAGGACCAAGGTTGACAACCTATTGAGCAGAACATACTGAACAAACAGACATCTGAGGCACTGGGCAATCATTTTAATAACTAAATATATAGATTACAAACGATTGTGCAATATGTACGAGGAACAAAAAACAAAAACTTGCAGAAAACATAACAAATTGAGACAGTTAACCTTGCCTGCAATCGAGTGCAAGACAGCAGCAACGTCAAGTTTTTTCTTTTGAGAAAATGGATCTACAAGCTCCCCTTTAAGAATAGTTGTTTTGAACGTATTACATATAGCTAAGATTTAATTTGGTAAGTTGATCCATTCCATAAGTAGCGCCATAACGATTTAAACTCTTGTTAGCAATTTGATGCGTAAAGCCTCTATTGTTGCTCTGAGAGACAGAACATTAAGGATAAAAAACAATGACATAGAACATTGTTACCTGCAGCAGTTGTCACAGAAAAACTTGTCCTCGGCATTTAAAATCTCGGTGGAAAAGAAACTCTTCAGGCAGCTTGTTAGTGAACTATTCTGTTCAATGTCGATGCTCAAATCTAAAAATGTCTCATCCTTTGCGGTGACAGTCTCACACATCAGGCACTTTGTTTCATTGGTCAAAATACCCTGCAAACGAAAATGGTGATTATAAGCACAAAATTCTTGGAAGAAACGCATTCTTGCATTTTAGCGACTAGTCACCTGAAAATTCTTGTGGACCCATGTAACCAGCGGCTCCCTTCGAACTTCATTGGCTAAATGATAAACTTCCCCATTTGCCGCCCTTCCAGGGGATGTGCTTTCAGGAGAATCCTTCACGGTACTAAACTCTTTTTCCAGAATATCGACAATCTCATTCAACAAGAAATTCAAAAATTCATGGGCATCCTACAGAGAGCAAAGAGGAGTTACTTATGTAACAATTACTCTTCTATGTCCCTAATGTTAAGAGTTATATATACTTAGCCATGTAATATAGTCATCGCATATTCGTATAAGGGGTTTTCTGCATATTTACCGCACATGTACGTGCATATATATTGGCGTAAAACCTCATGGAAATACAAGTTACGTATTTCCTCACATTGTATTGGAGCTTAGTGTTTCCTGACGATCGATTACATCTCATTTTCGGTCTTCAATCAAATTCTCTGGATTCTCCATACCACGCATCCTCCAGTGGCCACATCGAGCCAATCCTTAGGTACATCCGCGTGGATTGTTGATTCGGGAGCATCTTTCCATATGACTCCCGATTCTTCCGCTCTGTCATCCATTAGAGTTCTAGATAGATTATTCTATTCATGTTCTTGCCGCATATGGTACTTCTCTTCCTATCGCTAGTCATGCCACTCTTAGCACTTCATCTTTTCATGTTGCTCGTGTTCCTCGACTTACATTGCAACTCTTTTATATTGGCCAGATTACTCTCTGATCGTCGTGTTATTCTTGTTGTGCCCTCCCTCTCTCTCTCTCTCTCGGTTGTTTCTCACAACATGCACAAGTAGACAAGCTGTTTTGGTGACTTGCAGGCAAATCTTTTATATTTTTTATGCACTAAAAGCTTCTCTTTTGGTGCTGCGATTGCTGCAGCTGGCTGGGTCAAAAAGTTTGACTTAGGACAATCCTAGAACTTCAATTATTTTGAAATAGAGGGAGTACCATCACTATAACACTGGCCTATGCTAATGTGAAATCTATAAATGTGACGGTGCCATATGATCTCTTATCTTATAGCTTACCCTTCCCAGTATATATACATTGTATAGAGGTTGCTTCAATTAATTCGGACCGGAGGGAGCAAGTTATATTATTTCCAGATTATGCCACATTGACTATCATAATGATTTGGTTGCAAATAAACAAGGTGATCTGATAATTGTCTGATTTGTATTGTATTCTCTTATTGTTATCTGTATATACATTACCTTTTGTAAGTATCTATATACATATATAAATGTATTTCCTTCATATGTAGGTGCTTTTGTAGGTTGATTATGTAGCTTGGTTGAATTATTTTGATTTGCAGCGATATTGGCCATATTGGCCTTGTCTACCGTGGCAGTGGCGCCATTGGTCCACGGCGTTTTTGTAAGGGCGTCAACGTAAGGCCTCCGCGGAGAAGCAAATGGGTTACACCCTAATGAAAGGGAACAAATAATTCTGCGGGGCACGATTCATTTAAACTTTGTATTTGTTGGCCTTGGTTTTTCGAATTTTGTATTTTGCTTATAATCGAATTGTTGGAAACTGATGGTAGAATGCCATTTGGTGTTGTGGTGTTATTTCATCTGTTGATATATTTCTGAATTTCCTATGCATCTGCTCAATGATGATTGCTTAGTCAGTGAACGAATCAGAACACTGACTCCTATCCCCTACACGGGGGGAGCCCTTACTGCCGCCGGGAAGTCTTCCCTCCACTCAACCCCTGTGTCGCTGCCGCCGGAGGGCCGGATGGCAAAGCCGCGCCGTTCCTAGGTGGTGGCGGCGGGGCAGTCCCGTCCGCCTTGCGAGCTGCACGCCGCCTCCCCCTCCGCCCGGCTTGGTGTCTCC